AGGAGGAAATAGCGTGGGGAAGTGTACATGGGGGAAATGAAGTGACCCTCCACCGCAAGTCCTTGGGGGCTTCCCCACTTGTTCTCTTTTAAACCCATTGACTTCAATGGAGTTATAAGGGTGTAACTCTGTTTAGGATTGTATTGATATTTTTGTACAAAATAATTGATGCAAATGGGTTGTGAAATAATGCTTAATGATTGCATTAAACTATACCGTCCAGCTGCAAAGAGGCCTTGTACTACAAAACAGTTGTTTGCCAACTTCCTCCAAGAAGAGAAGAGAGGTAGTAGTATTTTTGTATTCATGATCACATGAATCTGGGTATTCACTAAGATACCTGAACTCAGATCTTGTAAGGGTTTAAAGTTAAAAGGCGAGATTTTGGCTAATTGCAGCTGTGTTTCAAATGAAAGTATAGAGCTTGGCTTGCTAGAGATCTGCCTCATGTACTTGAAAAGGAATTGTCAGGTCACAAGAACAGCAGGTAGGATCCCTTCCACCAGAGCTATCTATTTCTTCTAAATCAGTGTCTTCACCTGTAACCCAGTGTGAATAGTACCAGCTTTTTCTGTGCATGTCCCAAGAAAAAAACAAAACTGGTTGCTTGCATCATATACTATTTTTCACTGTTGTCTCCCTCTACATACACACTTTCTTCCTGTCTGGCACCACATGCTCCATCTCTGGTAATCCTCTCAGTTTTTCTTTTTACGTTCCCTTTTCTCTCCATGTCTCATTATTCACTTTCTTCTTATTGCCACTGTTCTTTTTTTACTTACTACTATTTATTACTGCTGGATTGGGATCTCATACGTATGTGATTTGGTGCTGCTGTGGGCATCACATGGAGAGGTTTGCTGATTTTGGCTGAGGGCAGAACTGCACATTGTTTCTAAAGAGCCCAGGGGGCGGGCACATGCAACAAACCTCACCCCCTGCTCCCAGCAGCCCTCAGTCAGAGCAGGAAACAGCCAGGTAAGTTGCAGAGCTCCCCCCCCCCGGTCCAAGACAGTCCAGTGGCACCTTTAAGACCAAGTTTTATTCAGGTACAAGCTCTCCCTTCTCTGCGAGGACAGATCTGCATGTTCCTCCCTCCCCCCAAATACCTAGCAATCCAAAACAGTCCAGTGGCGCCTGAGCGGTGGGTGTTGCCTTCTGACACATTTCCGGTGATGTTAGGGGGTGCAAATAAGTTATGCTAATGAGTTATGCTAATGAGCTCCTGCACCTCCTTTTCTATGAAATGACCCCTGCCAGTTGGGAATGGAGCAGCCACCATTTGTGCAGGTGAATGAAGTGAACTGCCACCAGTAAGGCTCTTTTAGCACAGTTAGTATCTTGTTGCTTCCCCATTGTTAAGTGAAATGATCAGTGGAGAAGAAGTCTTGTTGGGCTTAGCTTCACTGCCACTTGTCTGTTACCTTCTGGGCTTCCAACCTACTTCTTGTACTAAACCTAAAGAGCCAGTTTGGTGTAGTGGTTAGGTACGCGGACTCTAATCTGGGAGAACCGGGTTTGATTCCCCACTTCTCCACATGCAGCTGCTGGGTGACCTTGGATAAGCCACAGTTCTCTCAGAGCTGTTCTCTCACAAGCAGTTCTCAAAGAGCTGTCTCAGCCCCACCTACTTCATAGGGTATCTGTTGTGGGGAGAGGAAGGAAAGGAGATTGTAAACCGTTCTGAGACTCTGAGTGAAGGGTGAGGTATAAATCCAATCTCCTCCTCCTGAACAAGAGAAAGTGCTGCCAGAAAATCCCATTCAAACAGTGCTAGCAAACAATGCCAGAGATTGGTACTCATTCATTTAATGGTCAAATTGTCTTTTTTAGTACTGATAATTTTAAGGAATGCTCTGAGCAAGAGTGGAAAAATGTAACGAGGAACAGTCTATATTTTTTAAACAAATTGATGTAACTTGTACACTTTTTTCCTTTTTAGAGCGCTGATACGAAGTCATCAATCAAAAGTGTGGGTGGTCAGCTTGGAGAGGGGCCAAGTGATGGACTACAGTTGCCAAGTAGCCTTCAGTTTCTTGATGATGAACTTGAATCTTCCCCGTTACCTGATCTCAGTGAAGATCAGCCATTTGATATCCTTCAGAAATCTCTGCAGGAAGCTAATATTACTGAACAGACTTTGGCAGAAGAGGCATATCTGGATGCCAACATAGGTTCCAACCAACAGTTTGCACAAGCTCAGCTTCATCCTTCCTCATCAGCATCTTTTACTCAGGCTTCTAATGTTTCTAATTACTCAGGTCAAACGCTGCAACCTATAGGAGTGACTCAAGTGGTACAGCAACCAGTTGGAGCATCTTTTGCAAGCAATACAGTTGGTGTGCAACATGGCTTTATGCAACATGTGGGAATCAGTGTTCCCAGCCAGCATTTGTCAAATAGTAGTCAGATTGGTGGCTCTGGACAGATACAGTTAATTGGTTCATTTAATAACCAACCTTCCATGATGACACTCAATAATCTCGAAGGATCTCACATTATTTTGAAGGGTAGTGGACAGCAAACACCTGCAAACATGAGTGGTGGACTCTTGGTTCATAGACAAACTCCTAATGGGAATTCATTGTTTGGCAACTCAAATTCAAGCCCAGTAGCACAACCTGTAACTGTTCCATTCAATAGTACAAATTTCCAGACATCTTTGCCTGTGCATAACATTATTATACAGAGGGGTCTTGCTCCAAATTCTAACAAAGTCCCCATCAACATCCAACCAAAGCCTATTCAGATGGGACAGCAAACCACTTACAATGTGAATAGCTTGGGAATACAGCAGCAGCATGTACAACAAGGGATTCCTTTTGCTTCATCAAATCCACCTCAAAATTCAGTGGTTGGTCCACATATGTCTGTTAATATTGTTAGTCAACAGAATGCAAGAAAATCAGTCACTCCTCAAGGAGTAAGTAATGCCAGTGGTAGTATTGTTATCCATTCTCCTATGGGACAGTCTCATGCACCTCAAAACCAGTTTCTTATACCCACAAGTCTGTCAGTAAATCCTAATTCAGTTCACCATATCCAGACCATAAATGGACAACTGCTTCAAAATCAGCCTTCACAGCTTGTTTCTAGCCAAGTGTCAACTGAGCATGTAATGCTAAACAGGAACTCTACAAACATGCTTAGAGCTAACCAGTCATATTCAGGACAGATGCTGAATAATCAGAATGCTTCTGTACAGTTAGTGTCTGGTCAAACATTTGCACCTCCTGGAAGCCAAGTTATAGTAAACCACGGAACTTCTCAAATTGTTAGTGGCCAAGTTCCACTACAACAGGCATCTCCTGCTGTGTTGCATTTATCTCCTAGTCAAGGAAATATTTCCCAAAGTAGAACAGGCTTTACTACTATGTCTCCTGGACAGTCAACGGGATCAAGTATGTCATCAAGCAACCGGTTTACTGTTGTGAGTTCTTCTGCCACAGCACACCACAGCATTGGCCCATCAGTCCAGTCTGTTGCTTCAGGAGGAAATTTTGCTGGAGATCAACTTACACAGCAAAATAGAACACAGTTAGCGGTTGGTGCATCACATCGTCTTCCAGTTTCCTCTTCCAAGTCTGCCAGCACATTTAGTCATACATCCATAACCCAACCTCAGTTTTCTTTTGGCCAGGTATGGAGTGATGCAACGTTACTTTTATTACTGTATTTATTACTGTATGTACTATTTAATTTATTCATAAATGATTTGGAGTTGGGGGTGAGCAGTTTAGTGACTAAGTTTGCAAAGGATACCAAATTATTCAGAATGGTGAAAACTAAACTGGTTATGAAGAGCTAAATGAAGATCCACTGCTGTCCTCACTGCTGGACCTCCTGATGGCACCTGGTATTTTTGGCCACTGTGTGACAGAGTGTTGGACTAGATGGGCCATTGGCTTGATCCAGCATTGGCTTCTCTTATGTTCTTATCTATCCAGATTGGGTAAGTGGGCAACATGTTCAGTGTTGATAAATGTGAGGTGATGGACATTGGAACAAAATATCCTAACTTTAAATTGTCTGGGACCAAGACTGAAAGATATCTTGGGGTTATAGGAGGTAGCTCAATCAGAATGTTGTCTCAGTATGCAGTGGTGGTGAAAAAGGCAAATTCCATGTTGGGGATTATTAAAAATGCTTTGAGAATAAAATAGCAGATACTATAATGCCCTTGTATAGAGCCATGATGTGGCCTCGTTTTGAATATTTTGTACAGTTATGGTCACTGTATCTCAAAAATGGTATGTGCAGAGTTGGAAAAAGTACAGGAGAGGGCAACCAAGATGATCAAGGGATTACAGCCCCTTTAAGAAAAAGCTGCAGAGTCTGGGACTTTTTAGTTTAGAAAATAGAAGGCTAAGGGGGGAATGATAACGGTTTGTAAAATTACAAGTGGCAGACCTACAAGGACTAGCAGGGAGCATCTAATTTCCCTCCTCCCCAATTTCCTCTTTCCCTTTCATGAAAACTCCTATAGCCTCTCTCTTTTTCCTGCTTCTTTCTGACCTTCCCTCCCACCACCAACCTACCTTTATCTGACTCCATCTTCAGCTTTCCTGCCTTCTTCCACCTGGTAGCCTCTCCCCAGGAAAACTCTGGCCAAGTTGCATGGTGGAGAAACTGCAAGGACTCTTGGAGGGGACTCATTTCCCCCTGTTTCCCCTCCCCAAATTATTTCTTCTTGCCACCCCCCTGGCAGCCCTCATATCCGCAGCATTCCCTCTCCTTCCTATCCACCAACCAACCTACCTTTATCTGCCCCCATTTTCAGCTATATTTATTATTTATTTACTTCATTTTTGTCCCATATATTTCCGCAGTAGGAGTCCAAAGCAGTTTACATCATTCTCCTTTCCTCCTGTCTGCTAAACCAGCCCAGGAAAGGGTCCTCCTGCCTCCACCTGGCTTTTATCGATAGAAACCAAGGCTTGACAATACAATTGTGATTGCCTAGTGATAATGTTGGAGGACATTAGTTTCTTAAAGCTATTGGTGCTTCTTTCATCATTTTGGGTGTTTTTAACCCCTGCCAGTGTATTTTCCCCCAGATTAAAGTAGATGGCTTTAAAAGAGGATTAGATAGATTCATGGAGGATAGGTCCATCAGTGGCTAATAACCATGATTAGTAAAGGGTCGCTGCAGAGCCCATCCAAGTGTCCTCTCCACCTATTATTACAGAAAACCTCCCACCCTGGCCTCCAGTCTCGGCTGCAAAAGTCAAGAGGCTTGTAGCCCAGCTAAGGTTAGGGAAGGCCCCAGGGAATGATCTGATCCCTCCGGAGTTGATCAAAATGGACATTGCATGGTGGCACCGGTCCTCGCCACACTTTTCACATACATTGACCAAACTGCACAGATCCCCAAAGGCTGGGGTCTGGCCATCATCATGCTGATATCTAAAAAAGGGGTGAAATCAGACCCTTTTAATTACCACCCAATCAGTCTGCTTGCTGGGTAAGCTTTACGCCAGACACCTATGCTGGAAGTTTTGGGACTGGCTCAATAGGGAAAATATCTTAGCTGAGGAACAAGCAGGTTTTAGAAGTGGTTGCTCCACAATCGACCAGTACTTGATTCTGTGCCATCTGGTGGAGAAATATATCACCAGGCTGCATAGGCCACTTTACACAGCCTTTTTTGACTATAGGATGGCATTTGATTGCAACTCATGCAACAGATTATGGCTAAAACTAGAAACTTCCACAATAAACCACAGACTGCTTGCCCTTATATGCAGAACTACATCAGTGAGGTGTAACCCACAAGGTCATCTGTCCCACATCGTTCTGGTCAGGAGAGGTGTGTCACGTTCAAGGGCAAACCTGGTATTGACTGACCAGAGCTTTTGGTATGCAACAAGGTAGCAAAATCAACAAACAAGTGTTGTGTTCAGGCAGTTCCTAGCACTTTTACTCGACTTAGGAATTCCAAGAGGCACCAATGCAAACACAACACTTGGTACAAGAGACAAAAGCAAGGTCACTAACTGGTCCTGAGTCAGGGGGCCAGGAGTTCCATCCACAAATCCGAGGAAGCAAGGAAGGCAGGAATTCAAAATCAAGGCTGGGGACACAACACAACAGGCAAAGTCGGGGTTCCTAGACTGAGAAAACAACACAGGTTAGCAAACAGAATTTCAAAGCAGCAAAGTCAGGCAAGGCAGAAATCTGCTGGCACCAGGGGTGGTAGCAAAGTTGCTTCCATGCAGACTTCTGGTTCTTTTATTAGCCTAATGACCCGCAGGTGTTACTTCTTCACTAGCTTGGATGGCTCCTGTAACAACTCTTATGTCATCAATAAAGCTGGTCGCCTTTGTGCAATCAACCTAGCACTCCTATGTCTCTCCACAGCTGTCAAGTTCTTTACGTCTTCTGCTCGGGAGATCCAGGCGGGGAGTGGCAGTCTGCCCTTTGTCCCATTTCCTTCGTCTGCTGCCAGAATGAGCAGCCCTCGTCGCCTGACGTGTCTTTTTCTGTCTCTGTCTCTAAATCCAGCTGTTCAGGCAGGCATTCCACAGGTGCAGGGCCTGACTCCTCCATTCCCTCATCTTCAGAGGAGGAGGTAGCTGACTGACTCATGACAAGGTGTGAAGCAAGGTTGCATCTTTGCTCCCTTATTATTTAACTTCTCTACAAACACCATGGTGCAGACTTTATCCAATCCTGACTTCTATCCACCCAGTATGGCAAATAGACTAATCTCCACACTATTATATGCACTATTATATTATATTGGTTGTTCTATCTGATGCCGAAAAAAGGGCTCACAAGAGCCCTCTGGGCACTTATGGGTTACTGCAAAGAGGAGCATTTAACAATCAGTCTTTCAAAGACCAAAATTCTTGTTTTCTCTAAAAGGTTTATCAAACACAGGTGACAGATTGACAGCCATGAGATCAAACAAGTTAAAATGTTCAGATATTTAGGTTTAGTGTTCCAACCATCTGGCTCATGGACAGCTCAGCTTTCCCATGTAACTGAATCTGCCCAAAGAGCGGCTACTGCGACTTTAAGACTCTTCTTTACAAAAGGCGGCTCTCATATACTATATGCATTGAATGTCTTTAAGGGCAAGATCCCCAGCTTACGTATGGTTCACAGACATGTCTGTACAATGAGTACCATAAACTAGAAGCAATCCAATCCAAATTCCTAAGATCCTTATTTGGAGTACCTCGTTGTGTACCCAATGCCCTGCTTAGGCTAGAAGCAGGGTTGGTTCCACTAGAAGTACGTTCCAAGCGACATGTTTCTGGCTCAAGTTAAACCTCCCCCGGAATAACTTCATTAATCCTTTCAGACAATTTTCACTCAAGGTGGGTGAGAGTAATAGAGAATAAATTGCAACTACTTGGTTTCTCCTGTATAGGCTTGCTGCATCTTGGGTACCCAGGAGCCAGAGCACTAATCAAACAGAGACTGTGGGACACCACCATTCAATTCAATAGATCATGGGCCCACTCTGCTCCAGCAGTGGTGAACTGTAACAAAAATTCCATTCCATCAAGTTACCTTTATACATTAGAATTTCCCAGACACCGCAGATCCTTCACTCTGGCCCAGTTTAATGCCCTCCCATCGTCCCTTTTTGAAGGGAGATATGCCTGTACCCCATATGTACAATGTTTCTGCCCATATCAGTCTGGAATGGTAGAAACAATCGAACATGTCATCTTACGTTGCTGATTTTACCAGGACATTCGAAATGCATACATTACCCCAGTCCTGTCCGAATATCCAGGTAGAGCAAATTATACTTCTCTTTTTGTTGCCGACTGTTTGAACAAAACTACCCTTAAAGTAGCAAGGTTTTAGTGATCTGGCATGTTTAATAAGGCAGAAGAACACAGTCTAATATTTTAATAATTTTATTATTACTATTAATTGTATATTTTTTGTACAGAATATCTATTTTATGCATCCAGTGTGTATTATGTATTGTTGATATTCTTGACTGCTGATCTTTGATCATAATAATAGTAAACTAAACGACAGAAACAGATTAGTAAAGGGAACCTCAGTATTCAGAGGCAGCAAACCTCTGAAACCTAGTACTAGAAAGCAACATCAAGGGAAGCCTTGCCCTCTGTGCCCTGGTTGTTGGCCCTCCAGGGCAAGTGGTTGGCTGCTGTGTGAAGCAGGATGCTGGACTAGATGAACCAGTTCTTATGCTGGTGGGATGGGTCAGGAGCTATAATGCAGTCCATTCAAATATCTTCTGAATTATCTGTGTTTGTTGTGCTTCAGTTGTTTTACGGATACTCAGTTATGCAAAAACTTTTCTTTAAGGTGGTTGAACTGTTGTTCTCATTAACAAATTAATATTATTTGCTTAGTTAGAAGTTTCCAAACCCTTTCACTACTGGCTTAGATATTCAAGTAACAAAGTCACATTGTAACTGATGATTGAATGCAGCTTATTGTGACTGGGAGGGCTTTGATCTTATCCACATCTTTCTTGATTTTGTATGTTTGTAACTGTGTATTTATATACTTAAATATTTTAACTAATTTTTCTCCCATTCAGGGGACTCAGAGCAGTTTACAAAATAAAGTACACAAAACAAAATACAATTTAAATAAAGATATAAACCCAGCAGATGTGCAATACATTCTTGAAGCAGGTGATAAGTCACAAGGTCATCCCAGCTCAAAAGCTTACTCATCTGGCTGTGCCCAGGCGTTAGCAGTGCCATCCTAAGCGAAGTTATACCCCTCTAGGCCCACTAACTGCAGTTGACTTAGAAGGGTGTAACTGTTGAGAATGGCGCTATAATATTACTTGCATGAAAGGGGTGGTGGTGTCAGATGCTTAGTCCAGATTTTACTCATTTTGCTTTGGTGTTCCCCCATCCCTGCTCTCCAACTTGTACCTCTGTACATATGTAGGCTTTAAAGTATGTGTGGTAAGAAATGATTCCATTACATCCATGTTTATGCTGTTTGTCCTTTGTAAGTTTGAAAATGTAAAGCAATTTAGGATTGTGACATTGGATTGAATTGGTAGAATGATACTTTTTAGGATATAATTTAAAAAATTATACTTGATTCTTCTACCAAATGTTTGTTTGCCACAGCAGAAAGCTTAGAAAGGGAAGAAATGTTATTATGTGTGAATGTTCTCAAATTAGAGCATCGCTGTCCGTCCCACTGGGAGTCTTGAGTTTCATTATATCACATATGATCTGATATTGTGAATGAAAAGAGGTGAGATCTATGTCAACTTACCAGATAAACAGTTTCAAATTCCCTACCTGTTAGGGTGTCATTACATCTGTAATGAAAGCTAATAAAATACAGCTAGGCTTTGATTCTAAGCAGTAGAAGTGTCATCTTCCCCACCTCCCTCCTGTTACTGAAGTTTTCTGTGCCTCCTCAAAATTGTGGTCTTGTGGGTCTGGACCCAAAGGAAGACTGTGGGGAGCATATTGGGAGTCTGCAGCAGGAAGGGGGAATTGTCAAAAATCTCCCTCCCCTCTTTGCTGATGGAAAAGCTGTTCTGTTGGAGGGGTAGCTGCTGCTGCTCTTATGGAAACGACTCCTTAATATCCAAGTTACAGTGTTTATAGGTTTCCTTTGTTATATGGATATATTGGGTTTTGATTATCTTTTGTATCTGTGTGATAACTTTACAGGCTCAAAAAAAGGTTACGAACTTGCCGTCTTCAGTTTCATCAACAAAGGCACAGGATAGTCTGAGACAACCGCAGCTAACAAGTCTTCTAGGTAATACATTGCCTGGTCAGATAAAGTATTTTTTTTAAATTCCCTTTTCAGGAATGAAATATGTTTCTTCTTAAATTTCTACAAAGACTTTGTTCTCATGAATTCTTAAATAGTAATGGAAAAGTTTGAACTCAGAGGCTCATTTTTATTGATAATTACACACACACAAACACACACACAAGGTATATCTGCCTGTCTATCTCTATATAATGCAAACTGAAATTCCCGCATGACATGCATGATCCATGGAAATTTGGATTAGTTTTACAGAGTATTGCAGGGGTCCCCGACGTGCTGCCCGTGGGTGCCAGGACACCTGCCAGCATATTTCCTGGTGCCCCTGCAAGTACTTTTAGAATGTGGGTGGGGCTAGGTGGGGCTTTTGCCCCATACAGGGCTTCCTTTTGACCATGCCGATTAAAAGGCACCCTTTTAAACAGACTAAAATGTTGAAGACTTACTATGAGAAATATGCATAATTTTGCTCCCTCACATTTTGTGTTTGGCTCCACTTCCTGCAGCTGCCATTTATGTTCACCACCCTGTGTCAGAATTCTAGAGTTGCCTGTGGGTTAAAAGAGGTTGGGGACCCCTGGAGTATTTTATTGAGATATATAAAAATACAGTATCAGAAGTGTACTTATGTCTGAGATGTACTCTTAAACAATTTCTTGAAGTTCATTCTATACTATTTTTCTTAAATAGTTTTATGTATTATTTTCCAAAATTATTATAAAGTATCTTAAAATATAGATTCCTGGGATGCTAAATGGTTGCTCTGGAGTCATGATTGGACAAGAATCTTGGGCACTTTTACCACATGTTCAGACACATAAATGCCCTTTAAATATTCCAGAAAGGATGTAATAAACCTGTGCTAGAAATGGAAGTTGACCTTTCAATTAAAAATTCATATGGAATAGATACTGTAGAAGCTGGATCTTGTGGACTCACTCTTGCACAATGGAACTTGCTTAAGAAAGTGTATTTTGGACCACAATTTAAGATGGATAGTGAACAGAAAAAGAGTCACAAAAATGCTTAAAATCTTTAACCATGTATAAAATAATGGAAATTTTCACTAGACTTCTTGTATAATTAAAGCATGGTCTATTTAAATGGACTGCCATACTGTATATATGATTTTACAATCAGTTGCCCCAATCCAGACATCTGTATGTATATCCAATATGGAAATATATGTTGGATCCTAAGATTCCATTCTGCAAATGGTGAAGCTTTTCTGTGACACAGGGAGACTTCTGCTGTTTCAAGGAGCCTTGCTCTGGCAGAAGAAGTATGTTCCACTAGGGGATGGCTCCTTGTTCTGGCAGTAGCCATCTTGTGTCAGAGGAAGGTTCCAGCATTAGTAGAAGGAAATCTTAGGATCCAGTTCTGTGTATGGAACATATGCAGTTCCCTTCCTCAATCTAGCAGCCAGCAGCAAATCCTGGCTGTCGGATTGGGAGGTGTTCCATTCAGTTTGTCCAACTTTGTCTTTATGAAAAGATGATGTTTTAGCTTATTTATAAAGGTCTCTGTACATTCTGCTCACTCAGTGAGTGATCCACTGGGACAGGGTCTGCATGTATTGTGTTCCCTCTGTTGTGTTGCTGTTAGCAAAATGGATCTAGTTGTGCAAAGGTTAAATCAGCAGTGGACTATAAAACAGACATGCCTTCCAAGTAGACTATTTTAAGTATATTGTTGTTTCTAAGTAGCAAATTAACCAATACAAATTTGTAGTAACTCAGTACCAATTATATTGTATTTAACAAAGATAACATTCTTTTTCTTAAGTAATGAACAAGTTAAAATAATTTATGACTATCAAGTGAGGTCTAACTCACGAAAGCTTATGCTGAAATAAACTTGGTTAGTCTTATGGGTGCCATGTTTTACTTTGCCGCTATAGACTAACACGGCTACTCTTTTAAAGTAGAGTAAAGCATCATGGGTAATTTGTAATGAGATTAGCACTGAAGCCCTTTTACACTGGGCAGGTTCAGTTAAAACCTGATTAAATGCTCACATTTTAAATTTGGGGCATGATCATGGCTGTAGTTAAATGTTTCAAGTCCAATTGATTTCAGTGGAAAAATAATCACAGATGTTTACTGATTAATCTAGTAATTGATTTCATCTTTAGAATATGATTCTTATCTTCCCAACAATTATTTTCATATGTTGGGTATGCTTGGTTTTAGTGATAAATACAGTAAGAAATCAATTTTTTTCTGAAGGGAGGAGTGAACGGAAATAATTTTATTATCAGAGAAGAAATATTGTTATATGGAGTTATTTAGTGGATGTCTCAGAGAAAATTTTGTTGAATACTGAGGGAATGCTGGGGCTGTTCTCAAAATGCAATCATTGTGTTCTCTTTAAAGAAATCGTATTTGCTCTTATTTGAGTTCCAGAAAAAACAGTTAGCAGCAGGAACTATTTGTGCAGAGTTGTGTGATTGTGGTGCCACAAAGACTGCTGCCATCCATCCATCCATAACTTTTGCAATTGATCGTGCTTTTTAAGGAAACAAATTCTGTGACAAATGTTTATATGAATAAATTAGAACAAAAATGGATTGCTCATTTGAAGGGCTATATGTATATTTGTAGGACAAGATACTGGAGGCAAAATTATACAACAGCCTATTGGAACAGCGTTGCCACACCAGGAAAAAGTAGTAGGATCATCTTCTGTCCATCAGAATATGCTGGTAGGAAACAAATTTTCCTTTAATTTTTCTTAAATTTTAGTGAAAACTAAGCAACCAATAATACCTCACATTATTTTTATGTAGAGCATATGGGTTGGAGCTAATGAACAGTGCATGAAACATATGCATAGATTGGATCTCTAGTCCTTCCTGTCTCTTACTGCTCCGCATCCATCCCTGCAGCTGGTCCTGACAGTCATGCAGTGTGGTTGAGAAATCACAAGGATCATGGATCTTTCCTATGTTCCCCTCCCCCTAGTAGTTCTTTTCAAACCTAAGAAAGTTTATTCCTAGTGTTGAAGGATCTGTGTGGACTAATATTTATGTAGATTGGGAGTAGGGTTCCCAGTGCCCCCAGTGGGAGTGGGGGAACCCCTGCTTTTGCAGCCTCTTGACTGCTGCCGGTCAGTTAGCCGACGGGGGGAAATCCCACCTCCAACTGACCCTTTCATGCCTACTTCTGGTTAGGGGTGACGCTCTGGTTTTTGGGCAAAACTCTGTGGTTTGAAGCCCAATTTACCAGTTTTGCCCAAAAACCAGAGTGTCACCCCCGACTGGAAGTAGGGCCAAAAGTGGAAGTAGGCCGGAAAATGCCCAACATCACTTCTGGTCTCCTGGAAGGACATCGGGAGACCCCCGCTGGCCAGTTAAATCGACCTTGCAACCCTAGTTGGGAGGGGAAAAGGAATTAATTCGCTCTCTGTTTTTTCTTCTGTAGTCCCCATCATCACCACTGTAGCTTCATGATCTGTTAGTCCATGTGGGTCTGAGAATAAACTTTCCTGGGGTTGGAAAGGACTGCTGGGGGAAATGGAACACTGGAAAGCTGCAGCTGTCGTTGTTATCTGCTGTCAGATTGTAGGATCTAATGCAAGATTTTACTCTGGTTAAGAATTCCTATTTGTGATCCTCATACTAATAATAATCATAACTAATAATAACCAGACTTGGTGGGTGGGCACCATTTAGATGTCACAGTAAACTGGATTTATGAACCAAAGTTTAGAATGCCATGCAGCCCACATTTGATAAAATGGTGTAGGCCTTCCCATTTTACCTTTGGTCCATTCTAACAAGGGGAAGTTAAAAGTGAGAAAAAGGAAACTCTCCTCATTAAACACCAATACTGACTTGATTCTCTAGAATTATCACTGTGCTCATAATAATTTTGGTAGAAGGCCAGGAAAAGCCTGCTCTTTTTTTGAAGAAAGATTTTTAAAGAACCCAAAACAGCTTAGTCCTACTAGAAACTAAATTGGCATTTCTATGCAAGCTTCTTGTGGCATCTGGTGAACTTGTTATTTGTTGTGGATATGGAAGAGTAAGCATCACTGAAATCTGGACATTTGGCATGTTGGCCTGGTGTGGTTAAATTCCTTGCCTAGGTAAAACAGTCTGTAGATGGCATTTTGTCACCCCTTGACCCTCAGAAGCAGCTTTTTTTGTGGTGGGTGGGTTTCAGGAAGCTGTAGGGTAAGAGGAAGAGCATTCATTTCATGCACTTCTGTTTGTCATTGGATCCAGCCTAATGACCTTGTTCACTGGAGTGATTTTTACTGAAACAGTAATAAATGATATATGGCATTGGATTAGTGTATCTGTTAACATTTTCCACCTTGAGCTCCAGATTTATGTGCTGTTTTAGGATCAGCCTGTAATCTGTGTAGCTTGATACTATTCTTGTTTACTTGGAGGATGTCCCACTGAGTTTAATGAAGTCTATTCTCCAGTAATTGTGAAAAGGATTGCAGCTGCAGTATCTGTTGGCTCTGTATGCTCATAGAATTGATATATTTTTCTGCAACGTCAGAAGATTTAAAAAAGCAAAACCCTTTGCAACAGTGTGTTTATATTGGTGGTAGAGAAAACACTTCTGAGAAGCATTTGCATGTATCGTATTTTATTCCCGTTGGGCAATATGTATGAGCCTATACTTTGTTTTTATTAGAGTGAGTATTCCAGTTTAACAGAGATGTGTTTTGAACCCAGGTGGATGGTCATTCATTAGGACAAAAGAGGCCTGCTGCTAAACAGCTAACAAAAGGAGCATTGTAAGTTGTTTCATTTTATTTATGCTTTCACTTTAGACATTTTTCTCTTCTTGGACTCTAAGTTTTGTAAAATTGTCTCACATGTATAGTGCTATTGTAAATGTTAACATCTGACAACAGTAATCTTCCCATTAGTATTCTACAGCAGTTACAAAAGGACCAGGCACACGCTGTGACTCCTGATAAAAGTCAGTTCAAATCTTTAAATGATGCAGTCCAGAGACTCCTTGCATATCATGTGTGCCAGGGATCACTGCCAGCGGAAGAGGATTTAAGGAAAGGTAATTTTTGCTTTCCAAGTTGTTAAAAAAGAAAGTGGGTTTTTATAGAAATAGAACAAGTATTATAGAAGGGAAAATGTTTGGTCTTTGTTTTTACCATCTTCTTATCGTTCTGAAACAAATACATTTTGAATCAGTATAAACATGAGAAAAATACCTTACATTAAAAAAGCAAAATTAGATTTCTAGCAAAGAGAAAGAAAAGAGATGTTTTACTTGTTGAGGCCTACTGTCTAACTAAGTTCTTTTTGCCTTTTCAGTGGACAATGAATTTGAAACTGTAGCCACACAGCTTCTAAAAAGAACACAAGCTATGTTAAATAAATACAGATGTTTGCTCTTGGAAGATGCAATGGTAAGAGTGAGAAAAGAGATGTATGTGTAAGTGCACACACCCATACCTTGTAATGATAAGCAGAATATTCCTTGCTGGTCAGTTTTCATGTCACATTCTAATATAGTGTGTCTATGATATGTGTAGTTCTCATTTAATACCTTATCCCATTAATCTAATTAGTGTTTTATTTCTGGATTTTTTAGCTGTAAAATTAGTAGTTCACAAAACAATTAGGGCTTTATTGCAGTGTTCTTTGAATTTGCAGTGGCCATTTGGTTGAAGGTTTCACAGTTCTTTCAAATGCAGCAAATATGTTTGTCTTCTGCCTTTCAAAAACTATATGCATACATGCGAGTCTTTTGCAACTTTCATTTTATATAGGGGCCTCTTTTTAACATTTTTCCTCTTTGCTTTGTTTTGCAGCACACCTATCTATATACTTTTCAGATGTGGCAGATTTCAACAATATTATTTTTAATTTTATGGGCACACACGTAGAAGTGTGTGCAAATCTGACATTTTCAGGAATACACTAGCTAAAACTACAAAGAACAGCCTATATACACTCTCAGACTAACCTACTTTACAGGGTTGTTGTGAGGTTAAAATGGATGATAGGGGAACAATGTAAGCTGTTTTGGGTCCCCACTGGGGAGAAAGATAGGATATAAATGAAGTGAATAACAATGGATAATATATAAAAGAATGGTAAGCATGTATATACGGTAAATTGGGCATACCACACAAAACTCACGAACATATGCTCCATAAGGATGAGCAAAAGGTTAGAAAAGCTAATGGTGTTGTTTTACTACAGACTTTGATTTATATGCATATGGGATTAAGACTACAAACTTTTCTTGGGAATGAGCCCTATGGAAATCTGAAGGGATTTGTGGGCAGAAATTTAGAGGATTATGCTGCAGAGCATTTAGTGATGTTGTTATAAAAATAATTTTGTATATACTCAGGGTTATCCTCATATAGTCCAGAGTTTACCAGTTGAACTTGTAATACTACGTGTTATTGATAGGAAACTTATGCTAGGTTCCATGAAGATATATAAATACAATTTATTGTTTATGATATTAGAAGTGATTTAATTTTTTTTCTTTTTCAGAGGATAAATCCTTCTGCAGAAATGGTCATGATTGACAGGATGTTTAACCAGGAAGAACGACAATGTTTATCCCGGGATAAACGTCTTGCAATAGTAGACCCTGGTAAGAAACTAATTATTTTCAATACTTTAAATCTTTCATATAGATGGTTTTAAAATGCATAACAGTATTCTTCCAAGTCACTTCAATAAGTCACAATACCAGAAGGAGTAGTATTTGTGAAACAATATAACATTTCTGAAAATTTTGCCACCATAGGAAAAACAGTTTTGTTGTTTGTTTGTGTGGGTGTGTGGGACCCCCTAGACTCGTGAGTATAATTGAAATATATTGCAACATTGACTTGCTTGTCAAACCAGTGTTGTATCTGCCATTTTATGAACATGAGGACTGTATTCCTAAACACACTTACTTCTGTTTGCGAACCACGAACCAGGCAAAGTTCATGATGAATTTGGCTTTGTGATTCGGTTCGTGCCCATCCCTAGTGAATGCAGCAAGTTGACATAAGAGATTTTTGCTGCCTTCTCCTTCTAACTGGTTCTCCATACACCCCTGTAAGCCACTCTTGAGGATCAGGGGACTTCTGGGAGTAGCATGGGATGTGGTCAGAAGTACTCCTCCCTTCTCTTGTAAAAACTCTTCTGCAACAGGAGCAAGAGCTTACATAATTGTTTTATTTGGAAAAATAGTATTTTGCTTCTGTGCTTACTCATAGTGGCTAACACAAAATTAATAAAAACACAGAAAAGGAACAGTGATACTTTAAACCATTTTACAGCTGCCATTGCTCACCGCGGTTGAAACTCTCAGCATAGCATTATCCTTCAATTCAGTACTGAAATATTTGTTTTCAATTTCAGATGGTTTTCTGGCAGACTTCTGTTGTCCCTCCACACAATTTGATGCAGTCGCTGATGAAGCACACCCTAATGAAAGTGATCCTCAGTGTAGCAAACCTTTGACTTCTCTGAACCAGACTGCTAATACCCCAACCAGAGACAAGTCAAGTTTGAGCACAGCAGAGTCCTTAAATCGCAACAAACTTCATGTAGTGCCTAACAATATTGTGAGTCCACCACAAGGAAACATTTCTGTTAAAAAATCAGAAAGCCTCACAAAAGCTTTAAAATTTCAGAAAACAAGCTGCTCTCCAGAAAGCCAGCACATGTCTGCTTCTGAACAAAAATTAGCTGATAGAGACCCTGACAAGTCTCATGAAAACTCTTTAAGTTCTGAAGATCATTTGAGATCAAAAACTTTATCAGGTACAGATCATGGTACGCATAATAAAGCATGTCGGAATCCAGGTGATGCTCACTCAGAAGCAACATGTAACCATTCCCTCCAAGACAAAGCTCCTCGGAGTTCTCCAAAGAATGAGGATTTGCATCCAGATGACTTGAAAGGCTTGGGGGAACCCCCAAAGGATTTGCTGCTCAATAAGAGTTTAGAGACTACATTCAAAAACATACTGGAACTGAAAAAGACTGGGAGACAGCCACAAAGTGAGGCAACTGGCAGTGGCTCACTAGAATTAGAATTTCCAAACTTTTCACTTATTGCTTCACAAGAAAACTGCCTGGAGAAATTTATTTCAGACCACAGTGAAGGAGTTGTAGAAACTGATTCTCTTTTAGAAGCTGCTGTAAATAGTATCTTAGAGTGTTAATAGTTTCAGTACCATGGACATATTTCTCTTAGAAGCCAATGTGAATGACACCACAAATACAGCCTGACATATGTCAAAGGTTACCCTTTCTAAAGTAGATTCTGTTCTGTGTTTGAGAGCAATACTCATTGTGGTTACAGTGAGGTATCCAGTAATGTAAATCCTTGAGAGAAAGCTGTCTCGTAGGGCCTACACATTGTGATACTGCTTGTGCTAATGGTTTTGAAGACTGTTTAGTAAGACTGCAGTTCACTAGGCCCTAAGTAACAAGGTAATAAACTGACAATCACAGTCTAGCAACAGGTTTATTAAAATGTTTCAGATGTTATATTTAATGGGAAGGACCAGCCCATCGCCCCCATAAATAAATTAATTTTAAGGCTTGCAGTTTGTAGTTTAAAAATCTCACAGTACCTCTGTTTATAAGTGTCTAGAATTTGGTTTTGGAAAAGAGATTTTTTTTCAAGGCTTTATACTTTTAAGTGGTTTTCTATTGTTCAACAAGCAGAAAGAAACACATTACAAAGGATGAGTTTAGTCCATAGAATGACAGTTTTTCTCCTTGAAGCATGGGATGAAACAATATACACTAGGCTGAAAACTAGAGGGTAGAAAACTGTAAAACAGGAGGCTAAGATACATCAGTGAAATGCTACATAAATACATAGAAATGTTAATTCTTGAACAAAAGGTTTTCGCATCTTATAATTGGATATAGTACACCTGAGTCTTTCTGAAGTGTATAAATGTTTTTCTAGACCAAGTGTCACAAGCACTTTTATTTGGAAATTGTGTTATTATAGTAGTAGTTTATACTTTAAGAAAATATTAGCCTTAACCTGAACAATTTAAAAGCAAGTGTTATTTTTTGCTTGTTTCTGCTTTTTGCTGCTCAAGAATGTTAGTCATCTGTAGCAGCAGTCATAATTACCAAAATATGTACAAACCAAAGTTAATCTGCTACCCCATTTTTTAAAAAATTATATCTGAAGACATAGAATTCATATTCTAGAGCCAAAGGAACCCCATGCGTGGTGTACATTTGGCTGGCAGTCATGTTGACAATATAATGTTATTATTTTAATTTATTATTTTTAATCAATGGTATGCTCCTTTTATGCTGCCATGCTGCTTTTTTTTTTTTTAATAAGCCTGCTTCTGTCATTAGAGCTGCTAGGCACACTGGTTTTGTGCCATTAGCAAGAGGGACGTGGCATGTGTGCTTGCTCAGAAAGACATAGCTGTGTGGTTTGTAGGGCATGTTCTCTGTAGCTTTCCCTCAAAAAAAAGAAAAGGAAGAAAACGTTCAAAAACGTTCTTGTTGATTTCATGAGCGTACATTGCACAGTAGCCTTGATCCTATGTGATTCTGTGTACATACAGGAGTTAGATGTGGAGCATTTCCTGATAATGGCAAACTCCTGTTCATGTGTAATTCCTTGGAGCTTTCCAACGCAGTAGGAGTAACATACTGTGGTTGTCAGTCAAATTGCCAGAATGCCCAAAACAAAGGGCTGAGTTTTGCTTTCCTAACTCCACTTGAGTTGTAGTAATCTAAAGGAGAGTAAAATATGGCCCTTGCACATCTGTCAACACAGAAGCCCTAAGCATCTCCTTGTGTTGAACCAGCAACACAAAGGAATTCTAACAAAGATAATGTAACCTGAGAAAATTGTAATGTCCTTTATCATTCAATTAACTTTTAACGTGAATAGAAGTATGGAAATAGTTTTTGTTTATATTGCCACTTTTTTAAAAAGTGTGCCAGTCTTAAAAATTACAGTTCTTCGGTGACTGTGATTTGGAAGATTTTGCATAATGGCTTGGTATTGCCACTTTGTTTTATTTTTCCTTTCCCTCAAGATTCATAGAACTGTAACCATAATGAGATGTCTAGGAAGTAGGGTGTATCTAGCACCAGTTGCATAGATCAATTGCTTGGAAGAACAGTAAATTGGACACACATTCATAGATCCTGCTACTTTTGGTTTTATCTGGGAATAGAAAGTTTCCATCATTTGTACAGAATATTCTGAATTTATATACCAAACCAAAACTTACTCATTTTGAATCTTATATTAAAGTTTACTTTTCAGTAAAATTATAGCTGAAGCATTGGAACTGCACTTCCATCTATATGGATTAAATTACACCTATGTTTATCCCAGCATTTTATGCTGGGAGCCCTCTGAACAAAGTTCAGCTAAATTAACCGGGGATAGCTAATGTATTTTATTTATTGAACTGAACTTCGTTTTAAAGCTCTGACTATTTTAATCGATAATGCAGTAAAAATATTTTTGTTTGTTGTTTAAAAAAAGTGTGAATTTGTTATGCAGCCCATGGTTCTAAATCCAGTGAAGACCATTTATTTGTGCTTAATTGCTTTGTAGGATTGGTCTATTGACTTCCTGGATATCTCTCCATACTGTCTAAGGTTTAAACAAATTTTCAGCTGGCAACTGCGACAAATACCTGATCTGACAAGGTCAGCGTAATTTATCTGTTAGATTTGGGAGGCCTTACAGACTGACTTTAATGAAAAAGGATGAGTCACTTATTGTCAGTGTGGTATGGACTTTATTTGCTTAAATACTTTCATTTGTATAGTATGTCTCACTTGAAATTGCTTTGTATACATTTTGTAAAAATATTTATAAAATGTTTTGTAAAAAAAGTATAACAAATTGCAGTTTATTTTGTTATGTTACATAAATACTGTTAAAAGACAAGTTGGGAAAATATATTGTTAACCCATGGATAGGAAATGTTTAGCTGAAGACTACAAGTTGAAACAACCATTGCAATACAGCCAAAGATTTGGGAAAAAAATTCTTGTTATCTGTGATTGTCTTGATTTAACCAAGATGAATAGCTAAGTTTTCAAAACTCTTTAAAACAAATTTAGATAACACAGTTGCAAAATATTGATATTTGCTATATATTTATTATATAGTGAATTATTACAAAATCAGTATTATGAAATAATAAATTTAAGAGAGCAAATTTGTATTCTGCATATTGGAAGGTAATGTAAACAAGTTATTTATCTCAAATAGCTCCTTAACTTTAATGCTTTTTGTTAAATTAAGCTTTTCTTCTATATCTTGCGTTTAATCACCTGGTTCAAAAAAGGTGTACAATACCAAGTCTTGTTTTTATGGGGAGGAGGGTACTTGTAATGGTAGTAGGACACCAGGAACCTTTTCATCTTTTCTGTAGTGTGTTTAGCACACAAGTAGAAGGTGCAGAAACAACAATGTGTGGTTCAGTATTCCTTTCCCCTGTTATCACCAGGGAAGCATGAACTGTGGCCAGGGAAGGTGGCTCCAGCTTTATATAGATTTTGCAGGTGGTGTTTCTATATCTGCTCAGTAATCTCTTTATATCCATAATAGTTTCCTCTTGCACTACTGTTGCTTTTCCCAATGTAGTTAAGTTCTGCTACAGGTTATACTTGAATGCTTCACTTCTCATTCAGCCATGCACTTTATGTATGAATCCAGAACTTCTCTGGTGTTGCAGGTGTGATCTTTTAAGGTACTAAGTATTTCTACAATTATTGATAGCCTGCAATGAAATTAGTAGAACTCATGAAAGAACAGCTGGTAGTTTTCATGAACGCTGCTTCTCTCAGCATCTAACAGAAAATTAGAGAAAAGATACCTCAAGGAATATCTAGCCTCAGGGTTTTGGTGCTTGCACCATCAGTTTATCATGTTTGTTGCTGTGTCATCCTTGCTGATTCTGCTAATATGCTTGGACTAGAAGTGATCGTTTTGGGGATCACCTCAGCTTCTGTGTGAGTATCAGGCAAACAGATTCAGCAAGCCTGAATATTTGCAAACCCTTCCATACAAAATCATGACCTAATCATGACCTAGTAAGATGTAGTTTGGAGATGTTACCTTCTGTAACCTTTTTTTTAATAGAATGGACTGAGTTAGAGGCTACTGCAAATAGAGTCCCATGCACTGGAAAGTAGGGTAGGGATGCCAACTTTGGGTTAGGCCACTCATGGACATTTGGGGGTGGAGCTTGGGAAAGGCAGGATTTGGGAGAGGACAGACCTCAGTGGGATATAATGCCATAGATTCCACCCTCCAAAGCAGCCATTTCCCCCCCAGGTGAACTGATCTCTGTAGTCTGCAGGTCAGTTGTAATTCTGGAAGATTTCCAAGTCCCACCTGGAGGTTGGCAAGCCTACTGGAGAGTAAATAGAGACTTGATGAGGGCTTGATTTTTGAAAAAAAAATTGCAACATACCTGTGAAGTTGTTGATGTACAGATAAAATGGGGGTGGGGAATAGGGTTGTGCTTGCCCAGACTCACTGGGGCCAGCTGAGCCTCAGCACTGCTGCCAGTACCTCAGGGTTTTGCCTCATTGTCTTGGGCAGAAAACCGGCCATGTGTCTGGCATGTCACTGTTCAGCATGTATTCTGAGGATTGACTATCGTTGGATAAGAGCCTCATTATGTGTGAATTTTAACCAAATTACCTATATAGCTGCAATGATAGAATTCAGAAATATTCAAATATATAAAATTTGTATAAAGAAAATTCAGAGTAATAATGCTTATCTCTATAGGATAGGAGAAGGGGAAACAAAATGTGTAGATAGTATGGATAACCCAGAAAACCCAGTGTATTCAGCATTGTTCTATTGCCATCTGCTGGTAACTGGTTGATGAAACAAGTGTTGGTTTAAAAAAATTAGATAATTCAAGAAATAAAACTAAATTCAGTTATAATACAATAAACAATCAAAACCGGTAGTTTTTTAACCAGCAGATCTAGAATATGATCCAATTGAAATTATATTCTGCTTATGTTCATTTTTCTTTTTTCTCTCTTTAGGATGACCAGATGCAAAGAAGAACTACAGGGCTCTAGTACATTTAACCAGTTGATTTATCCCCCACTTTTCTCCCCATTGGGGACCCAAAGTGGCTTACAACATCTCCCCTTCAGAAGTGTTCCTTGCCATCTAGGGATGAGAAAAGCTGCAACTCTAGAAAGCAGCTCTGTTACAGAGCTATTGGAGGTTCAGGGCTCTTTGCCGTTTTTCAATTGTAAATAATCTCCCATTTTAAAAAGAAACCAAACATTGCCCAGAAGAAAAGGGTGATGATCTATTGCTACTATTGTGACCCATTCAGGATCTGAGTGTGTGACCCACTTGTGGATTCTCATACACTAAATGGAGACCAAAATGAGATAAATAAAACCAAGGGCTTTATCAGTGCTTCACTGGAAAGAAAAGCATAGGGGCCTGAAGGATATTTTTGGTAATTGACAAGGACACATTGGTCTTTAGCGGAAAGAGAGGTGCCGGCACCAATGCTGGAATGCTTAATGGTGCCAAAACCTTTTCTGAAGAAATGCAGCATTTTATTTATTTATTTAT